AGGTGCCGTCGTACGTGGCCGACGAGATTGAGCGCAACCGGAGCGGTGCGGGCCAAGCCGGGCGCGGTGCGATGCCGTCGATGGCCGAGCTCGGGGGCAACGCCGTCGGGCTGGGCAACCCGTGCGGCAGCGTCGGGGGCTACGGCAACGAGGACGCCATCGTGGTGAGCGGCGGCTGCGATCGCGACGTGCGGGTGTGGGACCTGGGCACGGGCGAGTGCCGGTACGTGCTGTCCGGGCACACGTCGACGACGCGGTGCCTCAAGGTGCTCGAGGGGCGACCGATTGCCGTGTCGGGCAGCCGCGACTCTACGCTGCGGGTGTGGGACATTGCGCGGGGCGAGCACGTGCACCTGCTGGCGGGCCACCAGCACAGCGTGAGGTGCATGGAGGTGGCGGGCAACCGGGTGGCGTCGGGCAGCTACGACTGCAACTGCCGGGTGTGGGACGTCGACACGGGCGAGTGCCTGCGGCTGCTGCGGGGCCACATCCACCAGATCTACGCCGTCGCTTTCGACGGGGAGCGGGTTGCGACGGGCTCGCTCGACTCGACGGTGCGGGTGTGGTCGGTGTCTTCGGGCGAGTGCGTTGCGCTGTTCCAGGGCCACACGTCGCTCGTGGGGCAGCTGCAGCTGACGGACAAGATGCTCGTCACGGGCGGCTCCGACGGGCGCGTCATCGTCTTTTCGCTCGAGACGTTTGAGTGCGTGCACCGGCTGTGCGCGCACGACAACTCGGTCACCTGCCTGCAGTTTGACGAGCGCTACATTATCACGGGCGGCAACGACGGGCGGGTCAAGCTGTGGGACTTCGCCACGGGCCGCTACATCCGCGACGTGTGCGAGCCGTGCGAGCAGGTGTGGAAGGTGAGCTACTACAACGACCAGGTCGTGGTGCTCTGCAAGCGCGGCGAGCGCACCTGCATGGACGTCATCTCGTTTCGCCCCACGGTCGATGAGTTTTAGGCGGCGCTGGCGGGCGGAAGGGCGTGCGTTAGCGTTTGGATGCAATGGACAGTAGTCGATGTGGTCGTTTCGCAGCTCTTTGTCTGGTGTGGTGTCGGTGGCGTGACGTGGCGTGGCGTGGCGTGGCGTGATGCGAGCAGGGCGGTTGGCGTTGGTGTCGTGTCGTGTCGTGTCGTGTTGCCTGGGCCGATGGATGGTGTTGGTGTCCGTGGCCGTGGTCGTGGTCGCGCGTGGCTCAGCTGGGCAGGCAGGCAGGTGCGGTGCGGTGTTGGGTCTCGCCCTGCCCTGCCCTGGTTTGCCTGCTTGCTCCTGCGCTCGTGCCTGCTTCTACATCCGCAACGAACGCGCTGCCCCACGTCGATTTCCGCATGACAGGGCGAGGCTAGGGCAACGAGGGATCGACACGACCCCCTGCCTACATACCTCTTGCCTGCTTGCTTGCTTGCTTGTTGGTCCCTTGTCGTCTCGCCTCGCCTCGCCTTTTGACAGACACCCTGGCAAGGCAAGGCAAGCCAAGGCAAGGCAAGGCGAGGCAACCGAGATGGCCCAATTGGCGCTACCGTCGCCTAGCCTAAACGACGCCGCGGTACGTGGGTGCGTGCGTCTTTGCACCCATACAGTACCTACAGCCTACTCGCCTCGGACTGACCTCGGTCTCGTCGAGCAGGCAGCCTGGCTGGCAGGCAGGCAGGCAGGCAGGCAGGCGGGGCTAGCGTCAAGTGAAGTGAGTCGAGGGGGACGAGGGGGCTCCAACGACGTCTTTCCCACCCACCATCATCCATCATCCGCACCCTACTCACCTAGCCTCTCCTCTCCCTCTCTCTCTTTGCAGATCGAGGCGCAATCACCACCCACCCACCAGCGGGACAGAGGGGGCAGACCGACGTACTCGGCGCATACTCGGTCCTGCACCGGCACCGGCACTCTCACCCGTGCCTTTGAGATCCACGACGCCACCCTCACTACTCCCTCTCCGGCCCGCGCTGCTCCACTCGCCCGTCGTCCCCGTCGGTCGATATCCTCGCTCGACGCCGTCACCCCCCCGAATCGCCAGTACCACCCTTCCTCGCTCCGACCCACGACCGACCGAAACGACTCACCCACCGCCCCACCCAACCCACCAAAGCCGGCTAGCTCTTCCGTTCGGCGTCACCCTCTGCACCTCATTACATCGGCAATTGACCCGTTCGACGTCACCCTCTGCACCTCATTACGACCCGTCCTTGCGCCACCATCCTCTCGCCCCGTCGCGCTGCTGCAACCTCGGTCATTCTCGAGCTCCCGCCCTCGCACTTGCCACCCGCACGCATCATATTGCTGGTCCCCTGGCTCAGTTGACCGCATCGTCTGCCAGCATCTGGCCGCCTTTCTCAGCCCTTGCGCCATTGCTCACACCATCGCTGTTGCCATCCCCCACTTTATCGCCGCTTTCGCCAGTCTCGTCTTGTCGCCCCCCTCTCTCACCTCCTCTCGTCTTGTCGCCCCCACTCGCCGTCACTCACAGTCCGGCCTGCGCCTCGGACCGCGCCCTATAAGACCGGCTAGCCTCTGTGGCCCTCGATTGCCCCGCTCCGTCTTTTGCTCCTCCAACGACCATCCCTCCCGCCCCTCCTTCCCCGCTTTGCTCCCCCCTCTGCTGAACCCCAAGCTTCGACCACTGCCGCCGTCACGCACGGCTGCCCCCCTCCGCTCCTTTTCTCGTCCCCGGCCCACCATGGCCAGGATCTTGCTCGCCCTCGTCCTATGGGCACCCCTCTGGCTCGGCGCACTCGCTGCCGCCGCCGTTTCCGACACCGGCGCCGCCCCCGCCGACCTGCCTGCCAACCCGCCCGCCAACCCGCCCGCCAACCCGCCCGTCAACCTGCCCTACCTCACGCCCGACATCACCGGCTTCACCCCGACCAAGGGCCAGTACGTCGTCGAGGAAGGCGAGTACGCCGCCAAGTACTGCTCCTGGCTCGGCGCCTCGTTCCCGCGCCTGGCCAAGGGCTACAGCATCAAGCAGGGCTCCAGCTTCGGCCACTACTACCCGGGCGGCTCCAACCCGTCGCTCGAGCTCCTCGTCCAGACCTACCCCGCCGGCATCATCAACGCCACCGTGGCCACAAAGGTGCCCGACATCCTCAAGCTCGTCGGCCCGGACATTGACCTGTCGCGCGAGGATGCCTACGGCAGGATGACGCCCGAGCTCGCCAACCACCGGCCCCTCGGCGGCCTGCCCCCCTTTTGCAGGTTCGGCGCCGTCGTGCGCACCAGCCAGCTCACCGAGACCCTGTTTGAGGTCTGGCTGCCCGTCAGGATGGTGCCCGGGTCGCCCCTCGTGCCCTTCAACCAGAGCGACTTCCCCACAAACTCGACCCCCATCTACATCAACAGCCAGGGACAGCTGGTCCAGGTCCCGCTCGGATTCAACGAGACCAAGCCGGCCAAGACCAAGTCGACGTCCAAGGACGACGCCGGCGGCGCGACCGACAAGCCCGCCGACGGCGACGCATCCAAGCCCACCAGCGACGACCCTGGCAACGCCACCGGCGGCACCGAGACTGGGACTGCGGCCAAGGACGGATCCGAGGCCAACGGTACCGCTGGCGAAAAGCAGCCCATCCAGCAGCAGGCTGGCGAGTCGTCGACAGACCCCAAGCAAAAGTCGGGCGTCTCAGCCTCCAGCCCAGCCGACCAGAAGACGGCTCCGGCCGAGCAGCTCAAGGCCAAGGGCGCCACGGTCCCGCAGGACGGTGCCGCCTCGCCGCCCGCCTTGCGCCGTGTCAAGAAGCGCGCCAACGGACACGAGGCAAGCAGCAGCGGCAATGGCGGCGGCGGCCACGGCCATGCTGGCAGCCACGCTGACGGCCACGCTGACGACCACGACTCGTGCCTCGACGGCGACGAGGTGCTCGGCAAGGGCACCGGCTGGAACGGCCGCAAGGTGCACATCAACAACGGCGGCCAGCGCGGCTTTGTGCCGCTGCCGGACCTCAAGCAGCTGCTGGCGCGCTACGGCTTCGCCGTCAGCGGCAGCAACGCGGGCCACTTTAGCGCCACGTCCGAGGTCAAGTGGGTCGTCGGCCCGCAGCGCGTCGAGACGATCAAGGACTGGTCCTACCGCTCCCAGTACGTCACCACGGAGCTGTCGCAGCAGGTCGTCGACCTCTTTTACGGACCCACCAGCGGCGTGCGCGTGCCGGCCAAGTGCGATGGCGGCGACGACGGGCAGGGCCAGGGCCAGATGGACGACTTCAAGTCCTCGAGCGGCGACAACGACGACGACAGCGACGCCCGCCAGACGCTCGCCAAGCGGGCCAGGCGGCCTCTGCCTGCCGCCGCGTGCGGCCAGCGCGTCTACAGCTACCTCTTTGGCGCGTCCAACGGCGGCGGCTCGGCCTTCAGCGCGCTCCAGATGGTCGGCCCCAAGTGGGACGGTGCGCTGATTGGCGCGCCCTCGCTGCGCTTCTCGGACACCAACTTTGCGCAGCTCGAGCTGGCCAAGACGCACCGCGCCGGCTCGGCGGGCGACGGCGTCTTTAATGCCACCATCTTTGGCGGCCCGTTCCACGAGGCCGTGCTGGAGCAGTGCGACGCGCTCGACGGCGTGCGCGACGGCATCCTCACCGAGCCGTGGAAGTGCCGCCTCGACTTCCGCCGCGCCATCCAGTGCGGCGGCGGCGGACGCTACTCGGACGACGACAAGGTGTGCTTCACCCAGCTCCAGGTCGACAACCTGCGCAAAATCTTCGAGGACTGGAAGTACGATGGCCAGGCCTTCTACCCTGGTTGGCCGGTGAGTCGTCGGTGACCGGGCCGGAGGACGCGTGCAGCGGAGCCAAGCCGGTCCGATTCGATCCTTTGAATCGCACATCATCGCGTCGATCCGTCCGCTGACTCTTGGCTCGTCCCTTGGCTGTCTTTGTCCTGTCCCCCCTCCCCTCTGGCCGCCACCTCCCTCGTGCACAGCTCGGCTCCGAGGGCTCGGCGGAGCGGTACAAGAACACGGCGCTCAAGGCCATCGAGTGGTACCAGCTGGCGGTGCAGGGCAAGACGCACAACGACACCGACCTGGCCTACTCGAACGGCAGCGACGGCGGCGGCTTCCACATCGCCGACGTCGAGTACGCGCGCCGGCTCAATGTCGGCAACTCGAACTTTGCCCTGACCGATCTCTCGGCCTACCTGGGCGGCGGCGGCGAGGCCAAGGCGGCGACGCAGGGGGGCAAGATCATGCACTATCACGGGCTCGTCGACCTGCAGATCAACCCGATCCCGAGCATCGACTACTACCGCTCGGTGCTGTCGGACCCGGCCAACGGGGGCGAGGAGCGGGTGCGGGACCAGTACCTGCTGTACACGATCCCGGGCATGGACCACTGCCGGGACGGACCGGGTGCGTGGCATTTTGGCGGGCCTACGCAGAACGACGCGGGTAACCGACCGCTGCGTTTCGACACCAAGCACGACATGGTCCTCTCGCTGCTGGCCTGGACCGAACGCGGCCTGAAACCGACCTACCAGATCGGAGCGGGCTACGACTCCAAGTCGATTGTGCTGCCCGTCGACGGCGGTAAGAAACCGGCAGACTCGGACCTCATCCCCACCCGCTTTGAGAGCTTTGACCGCGGCGTACGCCTCACGCGCCTCCACTGTCCCTGGCCCCAGGTGGCGCGGTACGACGGAAAAGGCCCCACGACGGGCCCAGAGGCATGGAAGAGCTTCCGATGCGCTTAGAATGCCGCCGCCCCCGCCGTCGTCGACGGTCTCCTCTGCTTTGCTCCTTCACCGCCTACCCTTGCCTTCCACCGCCTATTCCCGCTCGAGATCGAGCTCGAGCCCTACCTTATCGCTTCGCTCCGCTCCGCCTCGCCTCGATACATCCACCATGCCCTAGCCTTCTCGCCGCTCACTTATCCTCATTCGATCCATCTAGACAGACACACGCACGCACGCACGCGCGCATCTACCGTCCTTGCAGAGCATCACCGTCCGATTGCCTCGCAGTGGGCACCGCACGCACGCCCTCCTCGACCAGAGACAGACAGACAGACAGACAGACAGACAGATAGACGGGCGAGACGGGCCGATCGCCGCTAGTACGGTCCAGGCCGACCACCACCGGCACCGCCACGGCCGCCCGTGCTGCGTTCGCGCCCGCCCGTCGTCCGTTCGAGGCCGCCCCGATTGCCCGGCCGGTTCGGGTTGGGACACGTATTGGCAAAGTGGCCGTACTCCCCGCACTGTTCGTTGGAGCCGGTTGAGGGTGGGCAGAAGGGGAGCGGGGGGCCAAGGATGGGGGGTGTCAGTGGGTCGCCACTCGAGTCGATTCGGGCGACAGCACGACCCGCTGACCGGGAGACGCACCTTGAAGCAGAGGACTTCGCTGAGATCCTTCTTCCACCCTCCTCCGCCACCACCGCCGCCGCCGCCGCCGGAGGGTCGACCGCCTCTGGGTCCCATCTGGTCCGACCTCGACCCAGGTGGACCGCCGCCACCGGGACCCGACGCACCGGCGTCGGCGCCGTAGCGCGGTCTGCGCCCCGGCGGGCCGTCGAAGCCGCCGTCGTCGCGCGCCCCCAGTCGATCACCGCCGCCAAAGGCCTCTGCGGCCGTCAGCGGTCGGTGCGTCTGGATGGGCGACGAGGAGCGCGATGCCGCCGAGGGGGGTGTCGATTTGATGCTAAGAGGGCGGCGGCCGCGGCGGCGGCGGCGGCGAGGGCAGGGCAGGGCAGTAGAGGGCAGGGAGGGGGACGGGACCGGTGAGTCAGGATGATAGGCGAGAGGGCAGGAGCGGGATAGGCGGCAACTCACTGTCCCATCTTGCAGCTTGGACCGAGCGGGCAGAATCCGCAGAGGTACCACGGGCAGGCGACGCGGCGAACGTGCTTCTTGGGGCAGTCGGGGCCTGGCGAGAGAGAGCGGGGTCAAGCAAAGGGGCCGGACACATGGGTGAGTCTTGTGATCGACGTGGCTGTGGGAGGCATGGCCATGGCCGCGGCGTCGGCTCACCTCTCGGGCAGAAGCCGCGGTTGTAGCGCTGGCACTCTCTGCGCTTGATTTTGCGGTCGACGTGGAGGTAGAGGCAGTCGTCGCCGCTGTTGCAGAAGCCAAAGGTGGCAAAGAAGCGGCACTCGGGGATGCGGCGTAGGTCGTACTCGTGGAGGTAGTCGCACTGTTCGCCCTTTTTGCAGAGGCCGCGGAGCCAGTGCTTGCACACGGTGCGCTTGTTTGGGTCGCGGAGGAGGTGCGAGTTGGGGGCGAGGAAGTTGAGGGGCGAAGGGGAGACGTGGCGGCGCGGGCACGCCGTGGAGCGCGGGCAGGAGCGGGTGGCGAGAAAGTCGGGGCAGAGCTGGGCGTCGTTGTCGAGCTTGAGCGAGAGCTGCGCCTTGATGTAGGGCTCGAAGTTGAACTCGGTGTGGATGAAGTCCGACGGCTGCGAGAGGGTGCTCGAGCCCGGGCGGCTGGCGCTCAGCAGCGACTGGTACTCTGGCCGGAAGCCGTACGTGGCTGCCATGTTGGCGGTGGTGTTGGTGGCGGTGGTGGTGGTGGTGGCGGTGGCGGGGGCGGTAGCAGTGGTGGTGGCAGTGTTGGGTGGTGGTGGTGAGCAGCGAGAGAGGGGCAGCCCACCGGCTCAGACAGAGCTGGCCTGTCCAGCTGGCTCTGGTCTGGCTGGGGCTGGACCCGCCTCTGCCCCTCTCTCTGCCTCTCTTTCGGCTCTCGGGCAACCCTCCACCTGGCTGGCTGGCTGGCTGGCTGCCCGTGCGCTTGGCTGCCTTTCGGAGCCGAGCGACCAAAGTCGGATGCCGCCAGCCAAGGGTGCAAAGCCAGCGAGCGCGGCGGCCAGAGAAGGCAGCCCCCGCGGCCAGTCCGCTCGAAGAAATTTTGGAAAAAGTTGCGGCCAGGGCCAGCCACCACCACCACCACCACCATCACCACCACCACCTACTCTTGCCGCCACCCTCCTCCTCCTCCTTCATCCCGGCAGCCGCGGCGACCACGATCCGCTCCTCTCACTTCGGCCCAACAGCGCCGCATCTAGCCATCCGCCGCGACAGGCCCTCACCTGCCTGCCCGCCCAGCTGCGACTCGACCCACACCGCTCCCACTAATCACGGTCTGCCACCCCATCACCGCCACCACCACCGCCCGCCATGAGGATCGAGCACTGCTTCTTCTGCTCCGCGCCCTGCTACCCGGGCAAGGGCATCACGTTTGTGCGCAACGACGCCAAGGTGTTCAAGTTCTGCAAGTCCAAGTGCCACAAGAACTTCAAGATGAAGCGCAACCCGCGCAAGGTCCGCTGGACAAAGGCCTTCCGCAAGGCCGCCGGCAAGGAAATGGCCGTCGACACCACCCTCGAATTCGAAAAGAAGCGCAACGTCCCCGTCCGCTACGACCGCGAGCTCATCCGCACCACCCTCACCGCCATGCAGCGCATCCAGCAGATCAAGACGCGCAGGGAGGTCGCCTTCTACAAGGCCCGCATGCAAAAGGCCGGCGTCAAGTCCAAGGCGAGGGAGGCAGACCGCCTCGCCGTCCACAGAAACGCCCACCTCCGCGACTCGATCGAGGCATCCCGCAAGCTCGCCGCCCAGCGCGCATCGTCGTCGGCCGACAAGATCAAGGTCCGGGCAAAGGCGAGGAGCGCCCTCGTCGGCCCAGCAGAGGGCGGCATGGCAATGTGAGTGGCGGGCCGGCGAACCATCCCGCAGCAAGAACCCAGCGTTTGCGGCTGCAGCGGCCGCGGCGGCCGGCCGAGGGCCAACATCGCTGACCGTCCGTCCGTCTGTCCATCTCTGCCCTCCATCTCGTCTTCCCTTGCATCTCTGCCGCACAAACAGGGGCATGGACATGAGCTAGGAACCTCGTCGACCCACCCGCCTCGCCCTCTCGCCTCGACTCTTTCCACTCGCTCCAGCAGCGGCGCCCCCTTTCGCCGTCCCGCGGTCTCCGACATGCATCCATGGTCCACCTTTTCTCTCTCTCTCTCTCTGTACTATATCCAGCCAACCGCTCGTCAAGCACGATTCACTCACTCACTCGCTCTTCTCCAGCCGGTTTGTCCGCTCGCCGACCCCCGTGGCCCGGGCGTCCAGCCACGTATGTCGTTGCGCCCTCGACTCCGCCGCCGTTGATGGAGAAATGCGATGCGGTGGCCTGCGGCCGGCCCGCAAAGGGATGCGCTCGGCCAGCGTTCGACCAGCCCAACCTGCTCTGGATCCGTCGCCTCCAGTGGACCCAGAGTCTCGGTGCCAACGCACCCGATCCACCCTTGCCTGCGAGCGGTCATCGCACGCCGTCTCGCGATCGCCCGCCGGCCCGAACGCCTGATGCATCCCTCTCGATGCGGTCTCGACGGGGTCAGGATTGGCTTGGCTCGCGGTCAGAGGCTCTGCAGGTTCGCATCGCATCGCATCACATCGCTCGTCGATGGTACGCGGGTGCGGAGTAGACGACGGGTGGCCCCAGTCGACCGCCCCCGCCCAGCCCCTGGAGCAATCGAGCGCCATTTGAAATGTCCGCCCGCGGCGAGCTGAAATCCCCCACTCCCGTCGCATTTGTATTCCTCTCCGAGTTGGTTGGATTCAGCTAGAAAAGAGGCAGGCCAGGCCAGGCCAGGCTCAGTCCCTGCTCTGGTCTTAAGGGACGGGGCGGGACCTGCATTGGTGGGTGTCTCGAGCTGTCTTGCAAGGTCGTCTTTCGGGCTTTGCTCCGCTCCTCTTTCGTGCCCCGACCACCACCACCACCACCACCACTTGCTTGGCCTGTTGACCGTTCGTTCGTTCGTTCGTCTGTTCGGAACGCACCGTACCGTACGAGCCGTACCGTGGTGACAGGCAGGGCGCGCTGGGCGCAAGGCGCATTGCGCTACCCTCTAACCAACTCCCAGCCCAGCAGCGCCAGACCCCGCCCCGCTCGGCATCGCATCGCACCGCATCAAATCGCCGCGAGACCATCTCTCCTCTGTCAGGGAAGCGGAAAGTACCCGTCCAGCCCAGCAGTCGGAGGCCCGATTCAACTGGCGCGCCCTACTTCGAACGGGCATCACATCGGACCCACACAGCATCGTATGGTGACCGAGCCATGATCCGACCGATAGTCTGACCTTCCATGCTTTGTTCTTGTTCTTGGCACACGCGGTGCGGTGGCGATGGCAAGACGAGCCCGATGGTGCTTGCGCTCGGACATGCGATGGCGGAAGGGGCCAGAGATCGGATCCGCGCCGCGCCAGTAGGTACCATGGTACCGGCAGACAGTCAGGTACGCTTCCGTGTCTCCGCCGCGGGTCTCTCTGAGTTACGCCACATGTCTGACTGACTCAGAAAGGCCTGGCCTGCTTCCTTCCCATCGGGATCGTCCCCCGCTCGGGATCCGCGTCGAATGCTGATCCTCCGGCCCTCTGACTCCGTCTGTATCGCGCTGCTCTGCCCTGCCCCTGCCCCCCGTCGGGATGCCGCGCAATGGTTTGGCCAGCCCGCCCGCCCTTTCCCGTCCGTGCTTCTCCCTCCGTCTCTTTGAAACAGGCACGGCGTCGTTCGGGAACCCTTCTGCGGTGGCTCAACGTCCATCTCTTCCCTCGCCACCTTAGCTTCTTCTGCCGACGGAGGCACTCTCCTATCCTGCCCGCTAGACTGCCCACGGAAGTGTCGGAGGCGCTCGTCGACACGCCCCCTCTCGCTCACGTGCGTCGACCGGCTGCTTCTTTCACGAGGCCTTCGCCCGGTAACGAGGGGGGATCCGCGCTTCCCGCCTTCGGATAACGAGCGAAGCGAGGCGAGGCGAGGCGAACCTTCCGGGACCTGCTCGACGACAGGCGAGACGGAGCGAGGCGAGAGGACGAAATAGGGAACAAGGGCAGGTAGGTGAGTACGGTAAGGTCGAGAAGCAGGGGATGCATGGACGGCGCGAGCGGAACGAGGCTTTAGCCGCGAGTCCGCTTCGGATGCGGCTTTGCTGCGCCCGGCAGCCCTGCGCAGCGCTGCGCTGCCGACCTTGCGAGAGGGAACGTCCGCGGGCATACGAGAGCCGCTCGCCTCAATGCTAGGTTAGAGTCGACAGGACAGACAGCCAGAGCAGACCTGACCAGACCAGAGCAGGCGCTTGATTGCACGAACCCACGCTTGCCTGGCCTGCTTGCCGTGCAGGATTTGTCCGGTAGAGTGGGCCAGGCCAGGCCGGGCCAGGCCATTTTGGGCCTTTGCGACGCCCGCGAGGCCGCCCTTTGACGGCGCCAGGAGGGGTTCGCACCGGCAACGTGACCAAGGCAGCGGATAGACAGCGAGCAAAGCAACAGGCGAACGAGCACAGATGGGCGGGTGAGTTAAGAGGTGAGGGGACAGGCTACTCACGATCGGTCAATTCCCCACGCCCCTTCCGCATCTCGTTTGTATGGACCTTCGACGACAGCACAGTCACAGGACCTGCGAGAGAGGCTGCTCTTTGTTCCTTTGTCAAGGTATGTTTGGCCAAGCAGAGCGGACGCCAAGAGGGAAGAAGGATGGCGCCGAGGCCCAACCCACCCTCGTTTCCAATCCGCCGGGTGAGGGAGCGTCAAGCCAGACCTGTCGTATCAGATCACATCTTTCGCGGAAACAACGGCACCCACTTGGACCGTGGCAAATGCCGGCGTGCTCGACGGTGAGTGCCAGTGAGAACGCGGTAGGCCAGCCCTGGCGACGAGGAGAAAACCCTCTTGGTCCTCTGCGCTCTCTTTCTGTACGGCAGACACGGAACAGCACCATGCACCTGTCGACGCCCAGTCCTGACCGGCCTGGCCTGGCTGGGCGACCTTGGCACGGCCGCCATCGAACCAGGCAGAGTGGGTCTTGGTGTCTCAGCTTGCGCCTGCCGAACGCCCTAGAGCAGGCGGCCGCGATCGAACGGCCTGGCAGGCTGTCTGCGAGTCGTGATCGATATGGCGGGTCCGGCGTTGGCTCGCATTCGAGAACCGCGCCATCGTCCTCGTCGCGTTGCGGTGTGGTGCGATGCAGCGGCAGCGCGGTAGGTACGGAATCAGGCTGGACGCTGAGCGCTGCTGCGGACGAAGGCGGTGGTGTTGGATGCTGCTTGCTTCTATTTTATTTTTTGCCTCCTTGCCTTTGTGCCTTGTTTTGGTTAGGCTGTCTTTTGTCGGAGCTTCGGGATTCTGCCAAGAGGCAGGGGCAGGGGCAGCGGTAGAGGAGGAGTCTTGGGCAGAAATGGTACGCTTGGGGTTCCAGAACGACGTCGACACCACCCGGCGGTCGACCCGCTCTCTCTCTCTCTCTCGTTGGTGACCGACCCTCTGTCGTTTCCCCAGCAGCAGGCCCCCCTTTTTTCCTTGGCTGCACGACCTTCTCTTCTCAGCCCAGCCCGGCTGTCCGACCGCCCAGCTGATTCGGTCCGGCGGGCACGCATCAAACTCCGACACTCGCTTGCGGCTCCCGCCTCAACCACCGACTTTGGCACGCACGCACCGAATGACCGCCGTTTGGCGGGTCGGATCACCTCCATCAAGACTCACACCAACGCCGGCGTCGATCTGACGCCAGACACGGGCGTGCGCCTAGGCTCGGCTCGGGCTGGGCTGGCGCTGGGGCTGGGCTGGCGCTACTTACCCGCGTCCTCAACGGCGTCCGACAGGTCAGGTCAGAAGGCCAGCTAGGAGAATCTCGAACGCCAGAGGCGCAGGGCCCTGGCACTGACTCTGACCGTACGCGGCGGCGCCCCTGCCGGGCTTTGCTCTGCGTCTGGCCAGGGGGCCTGCCCGCTTCCTAGCTTCTGTTTGTAGACGCAGACGCAGGCGGGCGGTCCTGAGACGCCGGACTTCGATCTCATCGCCGCCGCAAGGCTGACTGACACAACAGGTTCGAGATCTCGACCAGGTCGCACCGGCCAAGTCCCACCGCCCGCTCGCCACTGACTACTGACATGAGTGAGTCGAGATGAGATGAGATGAGATGCGAGTGTTGCACAGAGACGCCGTGACGACAATGTAGCCGACTGACGCCGCCGCCGCTCTGAACTTGGACACGCCTGGCATCATTGATCGACTGTTGCCAGGCCCGTTACCTGGCGAACGAGCAAAGGACGAGCTGGGAGCGCACGATCCGGTTTCCACACCTCTGCCGGACAATGTACACCCACGAGCGCATCTTCCGACGCGCGGCCAGAGTGACCGGGCACGCAGCCGCTTCTTCTTCCGTGCAAGACCGCAAACGTGCAGCTCCATGGCCACGGCCACGGCCGCGGCCGCGGCCACGGGTATCGCAGCTGTTGATCCCCCGCCTGCCAGCCAAACCACCGGACTGTGCTGTGCGTACAGCCCCAGCTGTCGACCTCGCGGCGGGTCGCACGCCACTACTTCATCGACCCCGTCGGAAAACCTGAGCACGCCCCCAACGGAACCCGCCGCCAACCCGCCTGCCAGGCTCCAACAGCCGAGGCGGGTTTTGGCGTCTCTGAAGGAGGCAGAAGGCGCCTGGCTCCCACGGGTCATTGGTTTGGTCCGGCAAACCCAGATCGCGACGGACAATGAGCAGCACACGCGCACCGCCCAGCATGGCAGAACGGATTCCCCTGTCCGTGCGCCTCGACCACCCGGATCGGATGGGGTCGAATCGAGCTGCCGGTCGTTCCAGCTTCGACGAGGTCCGCAATCTCGATAGCAACCGCAATCGCCGCAACGCGACACAGCGCCTGGCAGCGCAACGAAACGTACTGATGCCCAGCAGCTGCCGTATTGCAACCCGTGGCCATGACAGGCGGCCAGCCAGCCAGATACAGTGAGTACCTATCAACCTTGTCCTCCCCTCGCCGGTACCTACGACACGTTCTCAGGGGTGTAGGTGCGGGCAAACGAGCGTGCGCATGGACATTCG